ATGAATGAAAAACATGGTGGTTTTGAGATGAGCTCGTGTTTCCTGGTACTGCTCTGACAATCCCTCGAGTTACCAAAGGAACAAAGCAGCTGTCTGCTGAACAAGTGGGAACATCCAGGTGTTTGTCCAATGTTACAATACACAGATGGAAAACTTTCACAATCCTTAATGTTCTTCCACTCTCACAGGTAGATCTATTAGAGGATTCCACTCTCGCGGGTAGATCTATTAGAGGATTCCACTCTCACGGGTAGATCTATTAGAGGATTCCACTCTCACAGGTAGATCTATTACAGGATTCCACTCTCACAGGTAGATCTATTACAGGATTCCACTCTCACGGGTAGATCTATTAGAGGATTCCCCTCTCGCGGGTAGATCTATTACAGGATTCCCCTCTCGCGGGTAGATCTATTAGAGGATTCCCCTCTCGCGGGTAGATCTATTAGAGGATTCCCCTCTCGCGGGTAGATCTATTAGAGGATTCCCCTCTCACGGGTAGATCTATTAAGAGGATTCCCCTCTCGCGGGTAGATCTATTAGAGGATTCCCCTCTTGCGGGTAGATCTATTACAGGATTCCACTCTCGCGGGTAGATCTATTAGAGGATTCCACTCTCACGGGTAGATCTATTAGAGGATTCCCCTCTCGCGGGTAGATCTACTAGAGGATTCCCCTCTCGCGGGTAGATCTATTAAGAGGATTCCCCTCTCGTGGGTAGATCTATTAGAGGATTCCCCTCTCGCGGGTAGATCTATTAGAGGATTCCCTCTCGCGGGTAGATCTATTAGAGGATTCCCCTCTTGCGGGTAGATCTATTAAGAGGATTCCCCTCTCGCGGGTAGATCTATTAGAGGATTCCCCTCTCGCGGGTAGATCTATTACAGGATTCCACTCTCGCGGGTAGATCTATTACAGGATTCCACTCTCACGGGTAGATCTATTAGAGGATTCCCCTCTCGCGGGTAGATCTATTAGAGGATTCCCCTCTCGCGGGTAGATCTATTAAGAGGATTCCACTCTCGCAGGTAGATCTATTAGAGGATTCCACTCTCGCAGGTAGATTTATTAGAGGATTCCACTCTCGCAGGTAGATCTATTACAGGATTCCATTCTCGCGGGTAGATCTATTAGAGGATTCCACTCTTGCGGGTAGATCTATTAGAGGATTCCACTCTCGCGGGTAGATCTATTAAGAGGATTCCACTCTTGCAAGTAGATCTATTAGAGGATTCCACTCTCGCGGGTAGATCTATTATGCCCCTTTTCCATTAGTACCTGTAGTACCGGTACAGCACGGCTCTACTCTACTCGGTACGGTACAGGTTGTGTTTCCATTATGCGTTCAGTACCGGTTCCAGTGGGCGGGGTTCAAATTGACGTCACCACCTCTCACCAGCTGGTGGCGCTGAGACGCAGAAACTGTTTTCAGTACAGGTTGAGAATTTATGTTATTTTGAAGTTGTGTGTATGTATGTATGCATGTATGTGTGTATGTACATGTGTATAAATATATATATATATACACACTATATATATATATATATATTTATACACACACACAAATATATATGTACACACATATGTGTGTGTATATATATATATATATATATATATATATATATATATATATCATATGTGATATATATATATATATATCACATATGTATATACACACAATTATGTATATATATATGTATATATATACACATATGTATTTATATATATTCATATATATTTATATATATATATATTTATAGATATAAATATATATATATTTATATAAATTAAAACTCTGATGAACCAGATTCTACAAAAACATTAGATTTAAATTTTTATAGGTTTTCATCATCATTTGATGTATTTGCACTCATTGTGTTAATGTTCATTTTAAATGTGTGGTTTCCTTGTTCACATATTTACATTTTATTTTTAGCTTTGCTTTAAAGTTCTTGTTTTGTGATTTGTACATTTGTGAGTTAAAATAAAGTTGAACTGAAGGTCGTCTCTTCTTTAAACATGTTTGAGGGAAATATTCCTGAGATCCAATAGTTTTGTGTCTTTTTATGATTTTCAGCTGAGTTAACAGTCATTAAAGTGAAAACAGGATTTCATGATGAAGCTGGCACCGTTTATTTATTTATTTTTTTAAATCTTCAACGCTAAAATATATATATATATTATTTTTTTATGACGATCCTCTCCTCCGGAGCCAGGCAGGCTCATCCTCCCAGCTCCAGCTCAGCTGGTGACTCCAGAGGCCGTTCCAAGACCCCAGCCGTGCGTAATCATGAAGGTCCGACCCGCGCAAACAGGCGGACAGAGACGGAGCGATTTTAAAAAACATTTTACGTGTAAAAAAAAAAAAAATCATTTTTAAATCGCTTCAGCAATTTTTTAAAACATTTTTTGTATAAAAACAAAATATTATTTTATTTAAAAATCGCTTCCACCGTCCGCCTGACTGCCGGGTGGGATCGGGATTCAGCCTTCATGATTACGCGCGGCCGGGGTCTGGCCACGTCCATCTGCGAGTCCCCATCTCCAGCTTCACAGTGACCAGTGGAGCTCTGAGCACACAAGGCTGGTATCCAGAACCTGAGCCTCCGAGTCGGCACATCGAAGGATCTTCCGCGGTGACCAGGTGAACTTGGAGCCGGGGAGATGACGCTCTGCCCGGCCTGGCGCTCGGAGGCTCCGGAGGGAGGATCGGGGTACACCAGCAGAGCTCCATCCAGCTTG